ATAAAATGACAATGTCAACTGCATATAAAGGAAATTTGTATAAGATGTTTTACAGGTGGCACTTACCCCTGATGAGAATTGCCAGGATGTTCAAGGATAAATCGGATAAATGTTGGAAATGTCATCAGATACCTGGTTCATATTACCACATGTGGTGGACATGCTCGGATGCAAAAATATATTGGACTATAATCCACACATGGTTGGAAAAAATGACAAAACAACACATAGACTTTAAACCTGAGATATTTTTATTGGGAATTATAAGGAAAATATTGCAATTAATAGATGACCAAGGCCAAGTTTGCCATGGTAGTAAAGAGAAGAAGGAAATCATTCGAGACTTCTATGGGAAATTATATATGCAAGAGAATATTGATGAAGAAAGAGTCAAGCAGTACTTACAGAATGCTAATTTACCTCAGATACCTAAAGAGACTGAAAAAATGTTGGAAAGTAATATAACAATGATGGAATTAACTGAAGCACTTAAGAAGCAAAACAATGGAAAAGCACCAGGTCCAGATGGGCTTCCGGCAGAATTTTATAAAACATTACAAGAAGCGTTGAATCTTCCATTGCTAGAAGTTACGAATGAAGTTATGTTAAAGAAGAAGATACCTAAATCATGGTCAGAAGCCTATATTACACTTATTCCTAAAGAGGAGGCCGACCCATTACAAATTAAGAACTATAGACCCATTTCTTTACTAAATGCAGATTACAAAATCTTTGCTTCAATATTGGCAGAAAGATATTTAAAAATATTTAAATAATTTTATCCATCCTGATCAAAATGGATTTCTGCCAAAGAGACAAATTAAAGATAATATGAGAGTAATCTTGGACACCTTGGAATACTACGAGGCACATCCTGAAAAACAAATGGCTCTGATATTTCTAGATCCACAGAAGGCATTTGATAATGTGAATTGGCGATTCATGTTATTACTGTTGGAACAGATGGGTTTTGCTAGAAAATTTATCCAAGCAATAGAAGCTATATACTTTAAGCAAACGGCAAAGGTAATGATAGAGGGAGAGCTGACAGACTCTATTAATATAAGAAAAGGAACAAGACAGGGGTGCCCACTATCACCTTTGTTGTTTGTGTTAACTTTGGAAGTGTTAAACAGAAATATTAGAGATGAAAAGAATATAAAAGGAATGAAAATAAAAAAGGAAGAATTTAAGCTGCAAGTATTTGCGGATGATCTGGTTTTCATTTTAGAAGACCCTTTAGAAACAGCATCAAAATTGATAGAAAAGATAGAGACATGGAAAGGTGGCTGGTTTGAAAATAAATAAAGATAAGACAAAGATTTTGACAAAGAATATGCTATTAAGACAAAAGGAAGAACTGGCAGACCTATTGAAAATTCAAGTCACGAATAAGATCAAGTACTTGGGGATATATTTGACAGCAAGATGTAGTACATTAAAAGAGAATAATTATATTAAACTTAAACAGCAGATAGCACTAGATTTGGCAAAATGGGAAAACTTGCAACTCTCACTAATAGGGAGAATCTCAACAAGATGAATATATTACCCAGAATTTTATATTTGTTTCAAACAATTCCAATTAGGCTTGGAAAAGACTACTTTGAAGATTTAAATAAAATTGTGTTGAAATATATATGGCAAGGCAAGAAAGCGAGAATAAAGTTAAAACTTTTGCAAGATGCTAGAATAAGAGGAGGATTTGGTTTGCCTAATTGGGAATTGTACTACCAAGCTACAAATCTGATGTGGATTAAGGAATGGATAACACTAAGAAATGCTACATTGTTGACATTAGAAGGACATGATTTGTTGTTGGGGTGGCATGCTTTTTTATGGTACAAAGGAACTAAAACACAGGGGTATTTTAGAAGACATTATATACGGGAGTCTCTGTGGTTAATGGGAGAAGGTTAAAAGACAATGTTATTTGAAAATTCCAGTCTGGTTATCGACTATTGAAGCATTCTCGTATCCTATAATATACAAAAAGGAACAAACAGTTAGATATGGTGAAATACTGAATGAAAAGGGTGAACTGAAATCTATGCAAAAACTAGAGGAACAAGGTATAAAGATGAATTGGTTTTCATATGCGCAAATACATTCAAAGTATGATAAAGATTCTAAAACATAAGGTTTCTATGATAAACTGACTGACTTAGATAAGATTTTGACAGGCACTGATGAAAAGGTGATTAAAAAATTGTATGGATATCAGAAATTAAACTAGAAGAACAAGTTAAAGAAACTATAATTGCTTGGAAGAATTTTGGATATGGGATTGATTTAGAGAAATGGGAAAAATTGTTGTTTCAAAATCATAAAATGACAATGTCAACAGCATATAAAGAAAATTTGTATAAGATGTTTTACAGGTGGCATTTTCCCCCGACAAGAATAGCAAGAATGTTCAAGAATAAATCCGGAAAATGTTGGAAATGTCATCAGACACCTGGCTCATATTACCATATGTGGTGGACTTGTGCGGATGCTAAAAAATACTGGACTAAAATCCACATGTGGTTGGAAAAAATGACGAAAAAACATATAGACTTGAAACCAGAGATATTTTTATTGGGAATTTTACCTGAAATATATAGTAAAGACTTGAAATACCTGATTGTAAATGCATTAACAGCGGCTAGGATTGTATTTGCTAAAAACTGGAAAAATGAGAAAATACCATCACAGGAGGAAATCATTAAGAAAATATTGGAATGTGCTGAAATGAGTAGATTGACATTTGAAATTAGAGAACAAGAGGATAAACAATTTTATATGATATGGGATTTATTTTATCAATGGTTAGATAAAAAGACATGGTAAAGAAATAGACTAGTAAGCCTTACAATAAAAGTTAATAGATTGATATAGAATACAATATAAAATATATAACCATTGGATGAATGTATAAGATTAAATCATAATGAAAATAAGAATATCTCATGTAAAATGATGGAAAAATAGTCAAATGAATGTTTAATAATTGATATTATATAAGCACAAGCTAGATCGATAAGGTGAGAATTTATATGGTTTTATGTTTTTATGTTCGTATGTTTGTTGTAAAAAAATAAAAACTTTGTTTTAGAAAAAAGAAAGCGTCCTCACATATTGCATGACGGAGTGGTATGCTGGCTTGACAGCCACGGATAGAAAGACATTACAGAGGTGGTGAGCACAGCACAAAACCTCGTGGGCTGTTCTATGATACCATTAGATGACATTGCTAGGGCCCACAAGCCTTAGGAGACTGAGGAAAATCCTCAGGGACGACCCACACCCTGGTCAGCCCTTCTTCACTCTCCTGTTATCGGGTAGGAGATAGAGAAGCAGAGCCAGCCGCACCAACAGGCTGAAGAACAGTTTCTACCCGTGGGCTGTCAGATTCCTGAATGGAAAATAACTTTATGTCAACATAGTAGGATAGGGCCAGCGCGTTGTGCAACAAGGTCACTTGGTGTAATGAGATTGGGACTGGGTTAGGGACTTCTGTCCTCACTGTGAGTTGTGTTGGGGGGGGTGCACCAAGGGAGTCTCAGCCAACCTCATTGCACACATTTTGTACTCTGACAATAAAGGTAATAACAACAAAGGCCCCTGAGCTTGGCAGTCAGCCTCTTCTTGTTTTGGGGAATGGCCAGCGGCTGTTAAACTGGAGGAACCACTCCTCTTCTACCCTGATTCCAGTACACTCAGTTAATTCCTGGAATTAGAGGGTTGGAAGAGACCATAGAGATCATAGCGTAAGTGAGCTGTCTGAAGAGCTCTGGCAAAGGAGAACTCGCTCCAAACAGAAAATGTATTTATTTGCATCACATTTTATTATTTTTACAAAGAACTCAAGGCAGTGAACATAACCTCCTTCCTCTTTTCTCCACGACAGCCAACCTGTGAGGGTGACTGTCCCAAAGTCACCCAACTGTCTGTCATGGCTAAAGTGGGAATGTATAGTGTAAATATTAAAAACTACTTTTTAATACAGCCCACTACAGCTCTTGTTATTTTACCCCCGCTGTCAGAACAGCATGGGACCCTGGGTGGGCTCAAAGGGCTGGTCCCAAGAAGTTCCTGGAGCCAGAGGGAGGCCATGTGTGAGTGGGTGGGTGGGTGGGAGAGAGAAGAGGCACCATGTGGCTTCTTGCCACAGGCCAAGAGGCACTGGAGGACCTTTGCGAGGGGGCATGGCCATGCCTGGTCAGAGCCCCGGGGGACTCTCTGGAAGCAAAGTTGGAAGGAGGAGGGCCAGCAGGAGCAGGGGCACTCGAGGGTCTTGGAGAAGACTCCCGAGAATGCTGTGGAATAACCAAAGGAAACATTTCCAAATGTTTTGGAAACATTTATGCAAAGGCCCAGGTGTAACGCTGGGATGGTTGGAAGGGAAGAGAAGAGAACAGCCAGCCTCACGGTGGGGGGACTCTTAGGCTGGGGACGGATGCACTATTGGAAAACCGGGAGGACCAGATTAAGGACTGATTTTGGTGGTGGACAGAGTTTGCTCTCTGGCTTCCAAACGTTTCATCACCACGCTAGGTAACATCATCAGCAGAAGGTCTATGGAGATTCTCAGTCTTCCAGGTCATGGATGTCCCAAATGTGCTTTTTCGGGAGGCAACTGGACTCTATTTTTTTCTTTTGAAGAAGTTTTGCTTTTCACCAAAAGAAGCTTCCTCATTTCTGACTGGACGGTGGGGAAGGGAAGGATTTATACTCCTTGAGGGCAGCTGGTCACTTGCATCCTTTTAGGGGGTCGTTGAGGCCACTTGGAGGTCTTGCCTGTGTCTCTGGGTCACCTGAGTGGTGCAAGTGCCTGTAGAGCCTTTTTGGCTGCAGGATGTTTTCTGCCCTGTTTCTACTACTCGGGTGCTCCTGAGGACAGCAGCGCTTCCGTTGAAGCATCTTCATTCAGTTCCCCTCTGCTTTTATGTGTGGTTACGGGATCAGTGCCTGTGGGATCAATGGGTCAGGAGGCGCAGAGATTGCCTAGGGAAGGTCACATGAGGCCGTGTGATTGAAGTCATGGCATGCAGAGGTCACCTGGGGGAGAGGTGACCCTAGTTGGGGGGGGGGTGTCATGTGAGGCGGCTGTCTGTCTTTGGTGATGTGGTCGGTGCTGTCGCTGGTGGTTGCTCGATTGATCTGAGTCCTTACGGGCTCCTAGGCTGGTTCTTATTTGATATGTTTGTAGATTGATACCCGTTCATTGAATGGACTGATAGTCCTGGAGAAGATCTACCCATGTGGTCGCCCACTTGATAGCACATAATCCAAATAAATGTCCAGCAGGAGCCATGGGCCTTCTCTCCGGTCTGTGCTACTTTGCTAATTGAGGCAGGACTGGGGCTTCTTTGGGGGTCAAGCAAGGGAACCGGTTTCGTGCACCTTGAATGCCAGTCAGTCAGTTCTCCAGATGTGAAGAGCTGCCCGTACACCACGGCAACAGACACCAGCAAATCATGGGAAGACCGCTGGAGTAGAAGGATAATATAACATTTATTTGGTTCCATGCTAAACGAAATCCCTAGTTTTAAAAGCCCAGGGGATGGGACGCCACGGTGCTTCTGTGCTGCACCAAGGCGTCTGAGATCAGCTTCATGCTGGTGAAGACCTCTTCCCAGCTGGCGGATTTGACTTCCCGCAGAGATTCCCGCACTCGTGGAAAGGCCTACACAAAGAGAGACGCCTGGATCAGTCCACCTATGCAGGGGAGAAAGCCTCCCCCAAAGTGAAGGCAAGTCATAGTGTTTTTGTAGGATCTCACCATGTTCCTTTCTGGAAACAGGGTGGAAGCCATGCTTTTATCCCCGTGAATAAGTTGGAAGGAGCCTCGTCCAACCCTCTACTCAAGCAAGAGGCCTTGTGCCATTGCAAATAGCCATCCAATTTTTCCTTAAAAACCTCCATTATTGGAGCACACACATTATTCTGGAGTCAAGCTGCTGCACTGATTCACTATTCTGACTACCAGAAAATTTCTCCAGAGCTCTAGATTGCTTCTCTCCTTGATTAGTTTCCATCCTCAGGGAGATTCTCATTCATCCAGGTCATGGTTGTCCTAGAGGTGCTTTTTTCAAGAGACAACTGGATTGTCTGGTTTTTCTTTGAAGACGTTTGAAGAGTTGAAGAAGCTTCTTGGATGAGAAGCGAAACATCTTCAAAGAAAAACCAGAAAGTTCAGTTGTCCCTTGAAAAAATGCATTTCTGGGACTTCAGCTGCTTTGGAGAATAGCTGGCCCCCCTCTTCTTCTTTGGGGCAGCCCCTCCAATATTGGAGGACCGCTATCATGTCGCCCTCAGTCCTCCTTTTGCAGATGCACTGCTCAGTGGTGCTGAATCAAGCGGGAGGGTGCGGATACCCTGGCAGAGAAGCCGTGATCTGAGGGGAGGGGGCTGCTCCTTCCCAGCGAGCCCAAGGCAAAGGTCCCTGATGTGGCTTCTGCACTGGTCTGGCTGGGCTCGGCTGGGGTCAGAGCCACACACCTTGCGGGAGGCTGTGGCTACTGCCAAGCGTTTTGCTGAAGCCTAATTCCCACCCCCCACACCCATTCCCACTGATGGGGTAGGAGGCTCCATCTGGCCTCATGCCCCATAGCTGTGGAGGAGGGAGCCAGCAGGCTGCGGGGGGCGGGGGGGGAGGCAGAGGGTGAAAGCCAGCAGGGCTCTGGCAGGGGGTCTCCAAACTAGGACCCCACCAGGCAAGAGCCCAAGAGCCAGCAGAGCCCGGGAGCTGCACCTGTCTGTCTTACCTGCTGGCACCAAGCCTGGCACAAAAGCTTCTCATGCTGAGCAGTGGGCTGGCCCAGGGAGAGGGCACGGCTGGCCCTGGAAGGGGGCACGGGTAAGGCTGGTTTTGCAGACACCTGCTTCCCATCCCACCCCACCTCCTTCCTCCTACCTGGATAAAGCCACGGCCATGGCATAGGTGTCTATGGCAGCGTCTGCCACGCGCCTCAGGTGGAACTGCTTGTCTGGGGAGAATCCGGGAAGGGCAGGTCAGGCTCCCGGGTAGCCCTCACCCACCACCTCCTACAGCTTCCTCTGCAGCAACTCTTGGGGCTGCTGTGGGTCCCGCAGAACGTCCGTCCCCCATTTCCACAGTGGAAACATCTGTCTCTTTGGCTCTTTGGCTGGGGCCATTCCATGTCCCCCCGAGAGAATCGGGCTGGCCCAGGTCTCCCTGCAGCTCCGGCCCTGAGCTCCCTTAGAGGCCCCTGGGTGCCACAAAGGAATGGGTGCCACAATGGGTACCCAGGATGCCCGGCAGACCCACTCCCCCCAGAGCCTGTACCCGTCACTGCTGCGCCGTACTTCAAGAGCAGGCTCTCGATGGTCTCTCCAAACAGCTCCACAGCTCTGGTGACCTTGCGGGGGAGGAGACCAACGGGGGGGGGGAATGGAGGGACTTCAGCTGAATGTGGCCCCATGGATCATAAAGGGAGGGACCCCTCCCCCCTTTCTTGCTCAGCTCTACTTCTTGCTGTCAGATGCTGAGCCTCAGGCCCAGGGGGGCGGCTGTGGGGAGGGGACGGGCATCGCCGGCTTCCCCCAGGGGAAGAGGAGGGGCGTAGGAAGGCCATCTTGGCTGCTTTCCTAGGGACAGCCAGGAGCCACCCCAGGAGGAGGACAGCTTCTCTTCTAACTGGGGTTCTTGGGAAGGGGGTCCACTGGGAACAGGGTTGGAGGAGACTCCGTCCAGAAGGGCCCGGGGTGTCCCTGGACGAGGCCCCTCAGCCTCTGGCCAGAAGGCGTCTTGGGCGCCTGGAGCAGGGAAGTGTACTTGGCTGCCAACAGGCAAGAATGCCCAGAGGAAGCTGCCCGCCCTGTTGGGCCTCGGCCGGGTCTCTCACCAGAGCAGCACAGTCTTCCAGTTCCGGGTGGACGAGGCCCTGCAGCGTCTGCCCAGTGGGGACCCCGACTTTGCTGCAGGAGAGGAAGACAGTGGGGCATCTGCTGAATAGGGGCGTGGCACCAGGGGGGAGGGGGTCAGCAGCAGGCCTTGGAAGTCCTGGGGGGAGGGGAGGATCTCGAGGGCGGCTGTTGGGGAATGGGGGCGCCTCCTCAGACCCCACTTTCCTCCAGAGGGTGGGGGGCAGCCTCACCGTTTCGCTCGCATCACCACTTCCTTGTAGATGGATCCCAGGTGCAGCAGGGGGGCGGAGAGGTCCTTGCGCAGGCCGCTCAGGGTGTGCCCGGCATACTGAGAGCAGACAGCAGGTTCTGTCCTGGGGCAGCCTCCCCAATCTCCCCCACACCCCACACGCACACACACTTCAGGGCGTGGGGTGGCCGTGTTCCAGGGAGACGGATGGCATAGCCCAGCAAGCGGGCAGGGACGAGAGCATGCTTTCCCGGGCACCCAGGCAACGGGGGAGGGGGCCGCTCTGCCAGGGCTGGCAAAGGGGAGGCTGCTGCTCGAGGGCCTTGGAGGGGGGGGGGAGTGGTTGCCTGTGCAAACTGCAAAGGAGCAGAAAGGCTTTTGCTAGCTCAGCCTTGGGGAGGGCAAAGAGACAGGATGGCTCTGAAGGGGGCTCTCTCTCCGTTACAGCACCCCCCCCCCAGAGCCACACAGAAGCGCTTCTCATGGAGGGCGCTGCTTGTCCTGGGTGGGCTGCCCACGAGGACCACGCTGGCCTCCAAAGATGGCCTGACTTGCCTCCATGCCCGACAGAGCCACAAACAAGCGGAGAATCTCGTTGGTGCCCTCGAAAATGCGGAAGATCCTCAGGTCGCGCATGACTTTCTCCATGCCGCTCTCCTGCCCAGGGAAAGCAGCAGCCTGCAGGGGGTCCTGCTGGGCCCCAAGCTGGCCTGGGCGGAGCCGGTCGTGTCCTGACCCAGGAGACCCCGCCCGGCCCAGAGGGGACTTACCTTCATGTACCCCATCCCACCCAGGATCTGGATGCCTTCGTCGGCCACAGTCCAGGCTGCCTCCTGGGGACACCAACAGCAAGGCTGACTTCCCCCCCCCAAGGCCCCCCGGGCCCCTGCCGGGTCCCCAGCCGTGGCTCCAAGAGGCTCTGGGGCTGAAGTCCGGCAGACCAGCCACGGAGATCTGGCCAGAGCCAGCTGGGGCCTCTTGGCCCAGAGGGTGCCCCACTTAGGCAGCGGGGTGCCAATGGCCAGCCGCCTTGCCCCATTTCCCTCCACCCGCTGGGACCAGGGCAAGGTCTGCACAGGCACTGCTCATCCCCCCCCCCCATAAAGCAGGGCTGCCCCCCCACCAGACCCACTTACGGAGGCAAAGATCTTGCTGATGGCCGCCTCCAGCTTGTAGTCGGGCAGCTTCATGTCCATGTTAGCACTCAGCATGTAGGCCATGGCCTGCAAGGGGCAGGGCATGGCTGGGTAGCTTCACACCTGGGCCCTGCCCTCTAAGGGGGATGTGCCACCCCTTGGGGATGCCTGTGACGGCCACCTGAAGCCCATCTTGCAGGCGGCTTTATATCGATCGAGGGACCATGGGGGATGGAGCCCAGGACTGATGGGGAGTACTCTAGAGGAGGCTGGCCAGCCGCACTCACTTCGGTCACGTAGAGCAACATGGCCATGCGTGCCAGTTTCTCCTGAATGGCCCCAAAGCGGCCGATGGCTTTGCCAAACTGCTGCCGGTCTGCCGCGTGATCCACCTGTGCAGACCCAGAGTAAGGAACCTCGAGAGGGATGGAGCCCCCTCGGCCCAGGGGAGGGCCCCCCACCGCAGGCACCACGGCCTCCATGCCAGCATACCGCCTTGAGGAGGACTCCGCGCATGGTGCCGGCCATTGCCGCGGCCATGCTGAAGCGGCCGTTGTTCAGGATGTGCACGGCCACCTGGAAGCCTTTGCCGAGCCCCCCCAGCAGGTTCTCTGCGGGCACCTTCACGTCCTCAAAGTGCACCTCTGCCGTGTTGGAGCACTGGATGCCCATCTTCTGCTCCGGAGGGCCACTGCAGGGCATGGGCACAGAGGGAACAGGGCAGATCGCAGCTGCCCGTCAGAGCCGGATCCGCTGGGCGGCCCTCTCCTTCAGATGGAGCCCCCTCCCACACCGGAGGGGACGGTAATGAGCTTCAGAATGGATGAGGGAGGGGAAGGATGGCCGCCGGTGGCATTGACGGCCCTCGCTCTCACAAGGCCCCCTTGATTCACCTGCTCACCCCCCCAAAGGCTCGCTCCACGATGAAGGCCGACATCTTGTCTGTTTCTTCCCCTGTGGTGATGTTCTTGATGCGAGTCTTTGCGAACACCGTGAACACCTCGGCCGTGCCCCCATTGCTGGAAGGGAAGTGAGGTGGACCAGGCTAGCGGCCGGCCACCAGCCGTGGAGCCCAGCACTACAGCTTGGGAACCGCCCGTGCCATGGAGGCCCCCGCCCAGCTTCTCACCTGATCCAGATCTTGCTCCCGTTGAGCGTGTAGAAGCCCCCGCAGGGGCTGAGCTCAGCCACCGTCTGGATGGAGGCTGCGTCTGAGCCGCTGGAGGGTTCGGTCAGGCAAAAGGCTGCGTAGGCCTCACCTGGGATGAGAGAGGGGAGCCCAGACTTCCTTGGAGACAGCGTCAGCCTTGCCAGGGGCCGTCACTTTCTATACCCCCCCAAGGAGCCCTCCCCACCCTCCTTCCACCTGGACCTCTCCAGCCTTCAGGAGGCTAGTTCTCGCGTCCATCCATGGGAGCAAGAGCCCAGACCTGGAAGATGTCCCAGGCACGTACAGGCATCTCGTGTGTTTAGATCTGGGGCCCCTCCTGCCCCTCCCTGGCTCAGCTCATGCCAGGCCCAGCTGTCCCTCCGCCTGGCCCCTTTGCTAGGGAAGCCCCTCGCTCAGCCACTGTGTTCGAGGGCGGCACTCGGCCTACCAGATGCTAGCCTGGGGAGGTATTTTTCCTTCTGGCTCTTGTTTCCAAAGAGGAGGATGCCCTTGAAGCCAATGGACTGGTGGGCACCAAGGGCGATGGCCACGCCGAGATCATGCATCCCAACCACTTCCACCATGCGAGCGTACTAGAGGAGGAAAGGCGCCGCCATCAGGAGGAGGCTGCAGGTGGCCACATCAGGGGGGCCCCGCCCTCCACCAGTGACCTTGGGGGCTCTCTGAGCTTGGCTGCCTCTGACTAAGGAAGGCCTTGGGTGCTGAAACAGGGAGAGGCCTTTGCTCTCTGCCCGGGTGGGTGGGGTGCGGCTGTTTCCTCCTGGGGGGCCCGTTCCTTGAACTGCCTGGAAAAAAAGCCCCTTCCACAGAGGCAGTCAGGACCCCCACCCCCGGCTGAACCCTGTGCCACAGGCCCCGCGGATGGAGCTCCAGGCGGATGGACAGGCCGCCAGAGGTGCCTCAGCCTAGGTGGGAACTGCCCAGGCTGACCCGACAAGCCCTCAGGTAGGCCTCGACTGATGGCCGTTCTTCTTAGTGACCATTTGGAGTTACAGCAGCACTGAAAAATACTAACTTACGACCATTCTTCGCTCTTACAACTGTGGCAGCATCCCTATGGGGTCACGGGATCAGGATCCGGAGGCTTGGCCTGTATTTATGACGGTCGCGGTGACCCGCCCTTTTTTTTGCCTCCTCACAAGCAAAGTCAACTGGGAAGCCAGATTCACTTAACGACACTTACTTACCACTGCAGCTATTCACTTAACATTCGTGGCAAGAAAGGCCGTCCTTAACCACCATCTTGCTTAGCAACGATTGAGCTGAATTGTGGTCATAAGTCAAGGCTCACCTGTATTCTTGTCTGTGAGCAGAGAGCCAAGCTGGCTCCCTCCCAGTGCAAGGAAGCAGCCGAGCCCAGAGAGTGCCAAGGAGGCCCCCCTGCCCCCAGAACAGCCCTGAGCTGCCCAGAAGCTTTTCTCTTGGTCCCTCACACACACACACACACACACACACGCACACACGCATACAGCAGCCATAGGGGGAGGGCCCCCACCAGCCTTTCCGCCCTCAGCCGCTGGCCCAGGAACCCAGGAGCCATGACGAGGGACCCTCCCTCTGGGGCAGCAGAACCACCTTTGCCACTCTGGCATGGGAGGCGGACGATGCCCCCAACCCTCTGCGGTGGCTCTGGCCCCGTGTCTGGAGGGGCGGGGAGGGACGAGGAGGACTCCCTGCTTCCCTCCAGGAGCCTCCCGAGAGCCTTACCTGGGTGTTGGTCAGCCCGATGCCCCCCAGCTCCTCCGGCACCTGCAGCCCAAAGCAGCCCATCGACTTCAGGCCCTCCACGGTCTCCTCTTCGATGCTGCCCAGCTCTTCGTTGGCAGCCGCGTCATTGACTTCCTGCCGGTGTTCAGACAGAAATGGAGCCAGCACAACCCTCCTACCAGGACTTTCTCTCTTGGGGGGCAGGGGGGCCCTCTGGAGGAGGGGAACCTCCGTTGGCCTTACCTCAAAGAAGCGGGTGCAGGGATCCACCATGGCTTGCAAGAGCTGGGCCTGCTCCGGCGAAAGAGCTGAGGGCAATGGAGAGGCTGCCAGGACAGGAGGTTCACTGCCAACCCCAAGCACCCAGGGGCTGGTCAGCGGTCCTGCCTGGCATCAGCCTTCGGACCCTCCTCTGTACCCTGACCCTACCTACCTGCAGGGAAAGGAAGGAGGCTTTTAGGCTCCAGCTGTCCGTTGAATAGGTTTTCCACAAACGATGTTGATTCCTAGGGGCAAACGCTCCTGTTTGGCCCGGCCTGCAGGCGGCTGACCCTGCGCTCCCTGCCACCCACGCATTGAAGTTCAGGACCCTGACCTAGTGGGGAGCACAGAGCACGCCCCCTCCCCCTCTGGGAGCTGCCGCCCTGGACCATTCGGCCCCCTGGGAGCTGCTGGGTGCTGCCTGAATCCTCCCCTCGGTTGGGCTCACTGGGCAGCCGCTTCCGTGCTGGGAAAGAAGCTGGCAGGTGCAGACCGAGTCTTCCCATGCGGCTCTGCCTCTACCAGGGCCCTGAAGCCTTCCCAGCCCCCCCACCTGAGAGGGCGCCAGAGGCTGGTTGCCCCGGTCTCCCTTCAGATGGGGCTTCCGTGTCCAGGTGGGCAAAGCCGCTTCTAGAGGAGATACAGGCCTCCTGTTGGCAGGTCTTCCTTACCGTCTTGATGTTTCTAGAGTATCTTACTTTCTGGTCAGTCACAAAAGAAGAAGGAGACAGCGCCCTGTGAAAGGTGGCGCCGTCAGTCACGGAAGGTGGGGATGGGCCTCTGCCAACCCCTTGAATTTCTCAGAGCTTAGGATGTCGATCTGGCAGGGTTGGCACAAGGCCACCTATGGAGCCCAGGGAGTCCAGCAGTGCCTGGAGAGTGGTTCCCCACAAAGACCCGAACCACCCCCAAAGGGCCCCAAAGCGGGGGCTTTCCACTGGGCCCTTTCTTCCTCCATGGCTCCCTAGGGGCATCTTTGTGGAGATTCACTTTGGCTCCCATCTTCCTTGGTTTTATTCACATGAAGCCCCCAATAAGCCAGGCCCAGATGTTATGTGAACCCGGGCTCCCATGTGTTTTGCAGGGTGCGCCCTTGGAACAAATTTCAGGGCAGAAATTACTGAGCCATGGCTGCTTCTGTAGGCCGGACTCTGCCTCCCCTCCAGGGCTGATGAAGGGGGCTATTCCACCAGCCACGGTCTTCCCACGACCCATCCTGCCAAGCCTGGCCAGCCTTGCAGTGCGGTCCTTTCCCCTGGCAGCGCTCCCATTCCTTTGTTGGCAGGGCCTAGGGGGGTCTCTCTTAAGGGCAGGGGCACATGCTCCCAATCCCCTCTGGCTGCACGCCTGAACACAAAAGTTGGCCCATCGAAGGTCTCCAGGCCACGGTGCTGCCTCCTGGTCTCCTTTGCTGGCTCACATCCCCCTCTGCCCCTTCCAAACAAAGCCCCAGCCAGAGGAGAGCCCTGTCGTTCTGTGGGGCAGAGGGTCAGCAGTCCTGTAGCATCTTCCTGACCAAGAGGTGTGCTAAAGGCACCTGGTGATCAGGGATTGGGCTGCTCCATGGCGGCCGAGCCATAGTACCTGAGCCTGGACTTGGCCATCGACTTGCTCCACAGCTGCCGCCACCTGTCCAAGGTTGCCCTGCTCTGCATCAGCCGCATCATCCTCCCTGCTTTGCTGCAAGAAGCCCAGGTAGGTTGCTGCCGGGAGGGGGGGAGGAAGAGGCCCCAGGCCAGTGGGTCTCTCTGCAGAGCCTCCCCCTCCAACTGCCCCCCTCCCGGGTTACCCTCTGCAGCCCTGAAGGGGGCAGCTGACCCCCAGCCCCCACCACCACTCTCCCCCACGGCAGCAGCGTCAGAAACCTCTGTGAGGCCGCCGACTGTCCGCCCTTCAAGGCAGAGCAGATCAGGAAGGGGACTCTGCAGACCGGACAATGGAAAGGCACCTTAGGGGGAGGGTCTGCCCACAGTGGTTCCCTTCTCCTTATGGGGGTGCTTCACCCATAAACAGACCCCGGGCCCCTTCTCTGAGGTCCTCACAGCAACGTGGCCTGAACTCGCTCAGGAGGAAAAGCAGCAGCCCTCGTGGGCTCCGACCTGCCCTGTGGAGCAGGCTGCCTTCCGCAGTGTGACATCACTGGGCCCCTGCGGGATGGAGTTCTGTGACATCATGCGGAACTGGGCCCAGAACCTCCCTGGCCGGACGAGGCCTTTCATGGAAAGGGAAACGTGGGCTGTGCTCCCCTGTGCTGAGAAGCTGTTACTGAGGGTCCCGAAGGAGAAAGGAGGCGAGGTAGGGGGAGCGGGGGCTCCCAGGAGGAGGCCAGGCAGTGGTGGGAAGGCATCATGAACCAAGGTCGGGGCTCCCCTCCCCACCTCTCCAGAGCACCCAGAAGCTCTTGCCTCTTACGGAGGCCTTTAAAACCCTCCCCCACTGCAGCCTTTTCTGCCTGCTCAATCTCCCCCACTGGGAAGGAGACCCGAGAGACAAGCGGCCTGCTGTTTGATCGTCAGGTTCCTTCCGAATGATCCTCGGCTCAAAAATTTGCCTTTTTCACAAAAACGGCATCCGGGATCCGCATTTCAAGGTGTTCCCACAGCAACCCCCAAGGGGGCAGGAGGATGCGAGTGTCTAGTCAAGGAAAAAGGCACAACCACTATGTTGAGTTTGCCTTCTCTCGGCCATGGTGCTCGTCTTCTTCTTCGGGAGGTGGTCCTCCAAGCAAGGACAGCTCGGCCCCCGTTTGGTCCCTGCCCAGCACAGCTGCTCCTCACCCCCCCCCCAGCTCCGGGGAAGCCTGGCAAGAGCACCAGGCCTGGGGTGACGAGATCGCCAGAGCCGTGAGGAATGGGGAATCTGGTTCCCCTGCCCCAAACCCCACCTGCGATCCCCAAGTGGCGGTGGGTGTCAGGCCAGGCCACAGGGGCGCAGAACGGCGTCCTCCAGACTCTCAGGTTGCCCTTTGCCATTTGGTGCCCTGCCAGGCACCTGCCTCATGCCCCCCTCCCACTGGAGCGGAGAGAGGTTGGCGGGCTGGGGCCGGCCTGACCCACGGCCAGAGGAAAGACAGCAGGGCTGGCTCATCCCAAGTTATAGGTGTATCCTGCCTTCTATGTACTTCCTTCCATTTTCAGCAAGCAGAAGCTTCAACTCAGCAGCTTCAACCCTCTTGGCCTGGCAGGCGTGGGCACCCTCCATTTCTCCACTGATTGACCCAACTCGGCTGCCAGGAAGAGCCAGCAGGGCCCTACTGTACTCGAACTGTTGTTGGTGCATTACAGGAGGAAGATGGGTCTCCTTGAATCCCAGGGCAGTCGCCTCGGCTACTAAACGCTGAACTCCAGATGGGTCCCATTTCTTTGCAGAAGCCCCTGGTAGAGCAACCGCAGGCCGGTAATCTTAAACCAATGTTCAGCCTGGGTTTTGTCCACCCTGCTGGGCTGACATCCAGGCAGCCTGAATCTCCTCTGGGAGCCTCCAGCAGTCTCTCCCCCTCCCTCCCTCCCCTCTTTGCAGAGCATTCCTCATCCATCAGCTGCCTTTTCCTGGCCTCCGCAAATTAACTTGGCCTTTCTGGCACTGCTCCTGCCATCCCTCCCCCAAACTGGTGTAAAGGCCAGAGCGGAGCAGGCTGATGGGTGCTGGGAACACAGAGAAGGGGCAGACCTCAGGGAGAGCCGGGAGTGTGGGCCATCTCCTTTAGGCAGAAAGGAATAAAACCAAAGTGAGCTGGACTTATGGACAGATGGATGTACCTACCAGCCATCGATCAGCCCCTCCTCCTTGAGGAGGAGGGTGACTTTTGGGAGGAGGGTGAGCAGCAAAGCCAGGGGACCCACCTGCCCTTCACCCGCCCTGTGCTGTCCAGCCAGTGTATGGGAATTGGATAGTTAGTTAGCAATTGTGAGCTGTCCCCTTAAGGGAATGCATCATGGTAAATGTAGTTAAGGCATCCTGGGACATGTAGTCCATGTCACGAGACCACATCTGTAATTTTCATTGATCACCAAATTGACCCTCGATGGGTTGGGGGAGGTTTCCTCACTCTTGGCTGAACTCATGGACTCGTGGTAACTGCTCTACTTCTACGAGATGGGAAAAAAGGGATAAGGAGATAACCATCTTTTTACCTACAAGACAGATAGGCAAAGAATTGTTTATTAAAAAACTTCGTCACAAATGTGAGTTATGGGGATACCTGATGAACCAATAATAAAGACTTTGTATGAATGTTCTGTTGAGTTTATCTATCTGCATCTACACAGAAGACAAAATCTACCACTGTACAGAATACATTATACGCCCTGCCTGGGGCAAGGAAGACCCTCCTTCCCTGGCAGAGGAGGGATGGGTACGTGGCAGCAAAGGCTTTGCCAGGGTAGATCAAGGCCTGAGGAGGGTGCTGTAACCTGGGTGCAAAATGAAATGGGCTGGGATGTGCCCTGAGCCCCCAGCAAAGTCTTTGGGCAAAATGGCCATCCCGAGCTGGCGAGGGGAGGCCCAGTTTGGGCCAACTCAGAGGAGGCTGAGGAAGGATGTGAGAAGAGTTACGCTTGCCTTCCCGCAGGACGATGCCAACCAGGGAGCAAGACTGGGCCATGAGGCACCATTCGCACAGCTGGATTCACCCTATGGAAGTAACCCTCCGCTGACTCCGCGAGGGCTGCCGGAGTAACCCAGCTGGTCGCATTATGCCAACAGAGCCCCCAGCTAGGTCAGGTTATGATTTCCCCCCCCTCGGGTGCCAAGAGAGCAGAGACACCCCTGTTGAAGCTGAGCCCCCAGGGAGGCGCAAGAGGAGTCTGGGCTCCCCAGTGGCCCTGCTGGCTCTGGTGCCACCTGCACTGGGGTGGTTGGCTGCCTGAAAAGGGCTCCCAAGAGCGCCCCCTGGTGGAAAAAGGAAGCCAAGTTTCACCCTAGAGCAGGTTTGGGCCTTTCCTGGAGCTCGTCTTTGCCCAGCAGGCCTGGCCAGGTCAGAACGCCAGGCTCAGGTAGTGCCAATCCTGGCCAGTTCATGGTTCGTCGTTCTGTGTGAACCGAGAGATTGTGTTACATTCAACACTTTGAAGGAAGCAATCAAGAGCGTGGAGAACACAACTGCTCCACCTACAAGAGAGAATTTCTGACCAGTGACGTATCTCTCCGACGTAAGGGAACTTTAAAAGGGCACGGTTGGCATCAGAGCATGGGCAGAGTGCTCCCCGATTGAAGAAAACCGTTGAAATAGGTGCTGCGCTGAGGGTCCAGCAAGGAGGGGGGAAGGGCAAACATTAAGCCAAGTGTAATTGTATCTAAAAATCGAGTTTAATTAAAAACAGTTGAAATTACATATACAGCTTGGACCACATACGCAAGGCACACTGTCTGCAGGCGACCTGGTCCCACCACAGCTTCCCCCCACGATGTTTCCAGCCATGGGGACTCCCTTCTTCAAGCAAGGCCGGATGGTATTCGGGGTTCAAGGGTGAACCAGGCAAATGAGGGTTTGCAACAACTTCTAGAATGTTCCTGCCTGTGGGCAGGGGACCTCCAAGGTCCCTGCCAACTCTACTATTCTGTTAAAGTGTGTGTCTCCCCCCTTCCCCTCCCCTGGCCTCTCAGTACCTGCCTCTGTCTTACGACCCTTTCAGCCACACTGATTAAGAGAGATTGTCTCAATGGATTTAGGATTTTTCCCCCTTCACCTGGCTAACTCGGCTACCAGGATTGCTTGTAATTCACCTGGACGTGATTCTGCCGACGGCTTCTCCGCTTGACCTGGGGCTGCCTAGCTGACAAAAAGCCAGTCGGCCAGGGCGGTGGGCAGGTGGGTTGCGGCCTGCAGACGGAGCCACCAGGAGGCCTCCATGGGCATGTAGCGGCTGCAGGGGTGACGTGCAGCAAGGGCTTCCGTCAGGGCGTCCAGGACTGGGGAGATGTCCCGCAGGCCGCTGTGCGCAAAGCCCTTCATTCGAGAGAGCTTCTCCTGGAAGTCGGCCTCTCCGTAATCTGCCCGGACGGCCTCGCTGGCCCCACGCCACATGTGCTCGGCCTCGGCCTCGATGCCTTCGGGGGTCAGGATCCCTGTGGCTGCGATGAAGTTGCTCGGCTCAATGGCCACCACCGAGACGCCCCAGCGATACATCTCCTGCCGCAGGCAGTTGCTGAAGGCCTCCAGTCCAAACTTGGAGATGCAGTAGGAGGAGCGCATCGGCCTGGCCATCCGACCCAGCATGCTGCTCATGTTGACAATCCGCCCTGCAGGAGAGCAGAGACCAGAACTGCTCTGGGGATATGTGTGTGTGAGAGAGAGAGACATCAGTGGGAGAGAGCGGGAGGGAGGGAGGGGAGCAGAGAACCACTCAGGCCACCCAGCTCAGGGTCTGGCCTTGGTCAGAACTCTCCAGAGGCTCCACCAGTGTTGCTCTTTGAAGACCTCCTTTCCCACTGGGACACAGTCATGCCACTTCCAGAGGAGGCTGCTTGCTCAGTGTCTCACTCACTTTTTGGATCTCATTATCCCAAAATGGGAGACCTGAACAGGGTTGGCCTCCTCCTCTGGTGGACTGGCGAAGGCTGCACGTTCCTGCTTCCTCCTCTCTCTGTGCCTGCGGGTCTTTCCTCTGGCCGCCTCCCTCCCCCCTTCTTGCACAAGGCATTGCTGGTATGCCAGTGTTACGCAGGAGAGCCAAACTCTTGCACACGTGCTCTGCGTAACTGCTGACCCCTCTGCGTTGGCAGTCTGAATGCACGAGAACAGAGCCAGCCAGGGCATCGGGTGAGCCTTGCTGGACACCCGGCTGGTGCAGGGGGAACTCTGCTGCCCGTCCACTATGCCCACTCCTGGGCAAGATGCTCTGCCCACAGGCCGGTGGCCCCCAACCCCTCTGGACCCTCTTCCCTACCTCTGGCCCTGCGGATCAGGGGCAGAAAAGCCTTTGTCACCCGCAGGGTCCCCCATAAGTTGATGTCCGCCACTCTCTGGTACTTCTCCATGCTGGTGAATTCCACGTCTCCAAAGGAGGCGATTCCAGCGTTGTTCACCAAGCCCCACAGACCTGCCCCGCGAGAGAGGAGACTCCTTTTGAGGGATCGCAAGTGCAGGGCAGGCAGCCTCCTCCCCTTCCCGAGGAAGCCCATCTCTCCAGCCACAGGAACTGACCTGTCCAGAAAGGCGAGGGACTCACCTTCGGTGGCACCAGTGGCCAAAGAGCTGGACGCAGCCAAACGGGCCTAGGGAAACCCAAGTGACCCATGCATGGAGCCCAGTTCAGCCCCTGCCGCTGCCCGCGGGGGAGCATGGTGAGATGCCCTGGTCTGCCGGGAGCAGCCGCCCCTTGGGGAGATGGGAGGAAGGGCCTGGGTGATTACCTCGGGCAGGGTCCTCCAGCTGCACCTCCACGTATCGGAGGGCTCGGGCCACCTGCTGTTCGCAGCGCACATCCAGCTGGAGGACGTGCATCCGCCCAGAGCCCAGGCGGCACAGTTCTTGGGCACCATCTCCTCCTTGGTCCTGCCCGCCAGACAGGGAGAGAAGCCATTAAGGTGGGGAGGGGGGGGGACTCCTGAGGGCAAGCATGGCCCTGTTGGGGCTGATGGGACTTGCCGGCCTCCCTCTCCATCTCCGGCTCTCAGAGGAAACCCGAGAGCCTCCCGCTGGCGAGGCCAGCTCAGGGATGGGACCGGTTCCTCACCAGGAGCAAACAGCCAGCAAAGACAGTGAAGCCTTTTGCATGGAGATGACTGGCCAAGGCATGGCCGAAGCCCTTGTCGCAGCCTGTGATCAGCACCGCCTTCCCCTCGGCCTGCAGGAGGGCAAGAGGAAGGAGCAGCGTCAGAGGCGCCCAAGGCTGCCCAGCCATGAAGCATCTGAGGGCCAGGGGAAGAAGTTCGGGCGGAAGCTAAGAAGGGAAGATGCACAACCTCCACCCCGCTCAGGCCAGAGATCATCCAGGAAGGAGACCAGCGCCACCTCGGTCCCGTATCTGGGCCTGCAGCCCGACTGAAAGGGGTCCAGACAGCCTGTTCCCCACAGGATTCCTTAGAAAGGGGGCAAGGGCTAGGCATGGAGGTGACCCGAGGGCACTGCAGGGACCTGTCCCCTCCGCGAGGCATCTGCACCGACGCTCCCACCCCGGCCAGCTTGCTCTTCCAGCAGACATGGGGAGGCGGATCCGGCCTCAACTGGCATCCAGGCTGAAAAGCAGGTTCTGCGAGAGCTCAGCGGGCATGTGGCACCTCAAGGTCAGGCAGAGGGTGTGCCAAGAGCAAGGGAGGCAGGAGAGGGAAAGAGTGAGTCAGCGGGGAAAGTCCTCCGGGGACACACACACACACACCCCGCTCCCAGTGTCCGTCCTCCAGATCCAGCCAGGCCAGGCGGGGTGTCTCCCCTTCTTAGGACCCACAGAAGGGTCCTTGGGGAGGAGAGTCCTCGCTCCTCGTCCTCTCCTGCCCTTGGCAAACAAACAGGCCAGCTTGGCAGAGGAAGGGGCACGGCTGGGTGTCCACCTGGCTCTTGGTCATCCCCTCCCTGGGATGAAAAGCTGCCTCAGCTGGCCCAGGCCCTGCCCAGGACAGGCGCTTCTTGAGCAGGGAAGGACGTGACCTTGGCCTGACTAGGCTCCACAAGGACTTTGGCCCCGGTCCTGGAAACCATTGGAGTCTGGGTGGGGAGAACGTGGCAGAGACCCAGAGCGTGGCGAGAACTCGCCAACCGTAACTGTCAAATGACACCCGTGCTTCCCAAGCTGCCCTGAGTGCCAGACGGCTCCTCCCAGGCTCTGGAGACCTTCAACCGCCCACTGGCTACAAAGAGAATCTGCCCAACCAGAGGGGGAGGGGCGGCCCTGCAGGCCATGCATCCTCCTCTTCCTCCCCTGACAAAGCCCACAGGGATCCCCTCTTGTATAATGAGCCCCCCACCCGGAACAGAAGAACCACACCCTCCCTTTAATAGATGGGAAGCTTTGAGGAGGTGCTGTTGGGGACTCAGGTGAGAATGGAGACCCACCTGAGCAGGGAGGAGGAAGACACCAGTGATTTTTACAGCTGCATTGTGATTTCTGTTGATACATTGAGTGACTTTGGTCACTGCTAATCCTCTTAAATCCTGCAACCCTACCTGAAGTCCATCCCATTCAGAATAACAGATTAACGGGTGGGAAGGGACCTTGGAGGTCTTCTAGTCCAACCCCTGCTCAGACAGGAAGCGGCTGTCCGGTCTCTTCTTCTAAATCTCCAGCGATGCAAGCCGTTCCGCTGGTCAGTTGCCGAAAGGCTCTCTCCACAGCAGAGGCAAGCGAGACACAGGCACCCCTCCCCCCCGGCCAAGCTGCCTTATCATGGCCGGCAGGCAGCTTGGCCACAGCCCCCCCCCCCCCCGCCCCCCGGGCGTACAGCACCATCCGGGAGGGGGGGCAGGCTTGAGGCGCCGCGAGCCCCTCTGCCAGAAAAGAAGGGAACGTCTCTGCCGCGCATGATGGTTTCTCCGATCCTCTCCAGCAGCAATTCTCGGGCGACGGCGTCGGGGCTCCCTCTCGCTCGGCGGCCCCAGGGCGCCTTTGATTCCGGGGGACCCAACGCCGCCCCCTCCCCTCTCCTCGGGCCGTTCCTCCTCGCGGGGGAGGCGGGGACTCCAAAGCAGGCCCGGGGGAGCCCCCCCCCCCGGACTCACCGGCAGGGGCGGAGGGAGGCGGCGGCGGAGCAGGAGCAGGAGGAGCAGGAAGAGGAGGCCGGCGGGGAGCGTCCACATGGCGCGCGAGGGGCAGGGCGGGGGCGTCGCCGGGACGATCGTGACGTCACTTCCTCGGCCGGCGCGGAGGGGACGCGGGACGGTCAGTCGGAGGGGCGGGAGGAGCGCGCGGTAAGCGGCCTCGAGCGGCGCCCTCTTTCCCCCCACCCCGGCCGCTGCCTCCGCCGGAAGGAGTGGGGCCCGCGGGGGCAGGAGGGAGGCGGCTGCCTGGGCCCGGCGCTCCCTGGGCTCGGCTCGGCGGGCGGCGGGCGGGGGCGGAGAGGAGGGCGCGGGGTCCCTGGGCAGGTGGGCTGCGGGGCGGAGGAGGCTGAGTGGGGCTGGGGGCCTCCGCTTGGCTTGGCCGGGAGAGCCGCCTCCGGGCTCCGTCGGGGGCCAGAAGTCCCCGGGATGCCTCCGGGCTTCTCGGTGTACCTGCCCTCCGCGGGATCAGGGCCTCTGCCGCCCTCCCTCCCCAACCCGCCCTCAGTCCCGGCCTCCTCCCGAATTCTTCCGAAGGGCTCCGGGAAGAAGAAGCCCCGAGGCTTCCCTGGCCAGGAGGGCCCTTTTCCCTGGCGGTTCCTCTCTTCCTCCCCGCCCCGGAAGAAAAAGGGGGGGCTGGTGTGAAAAGCGCTGGGCTAGGGCCTCCCAGCTGGTCCAACCGCTTCCTCCCCCTCCCTCAGGACGGGGTGACCTCTGGGCCCCAGGATGCGGCCTCCCCTTCACCCCTCCTGGGGAGGAAGCTCTGGCTGGCCACAGGCTTTTAGGGCAGGCTGACAATGGGCTCCAGCCCCAGGTGGGCGGCTGGTGACCCTCCTTTAAATGACCGTGGAGGCACACTGTGCCAAGCCAGAGCAGGCCCTAACGCCCGATTGGCTGGGCTCACCCCCCCACCCCGGCACATGAAGGGTGAAGCCTCACCAGCTTGCTTGATCCCTTTCCTGAATTCAGACACCACCATCTCTTGGGGAGGCGTGCCGAGGTCACCAAGGCAGCCAGAGATCCAAATCGAGGTAAGTGTGGCTGATGGGTGGGCAGGGACTTGGTGGGGGGAGCCTCCTTGGACCCACCCTCAGCAAGGCCATAAAGGCTGGGGGCAGATAACGCAGAGCGCTCCCCCCCCCCGCCTTTGGCAGAGTCCGGAGGCGTCGGCAGCAGCAGCAGAGACACCCTTCATGGCAATCCTCTTGGCCACCACCCGCATCACCCAGCCTCTTGCCCGGCTGGCCTTGAACACTCCGCACTGTAAGGATGGCGCTGCCACCAGCCTGCGGTAAGTACAGAGAACCGTCCCAGTTCTGTGTTTTCCAAAGTCCTTGGCTTGCCACGAGTGGCCGTTTGAGGCTTCAGTGGCCCTGAAACAAACGGACCGGTCCTTGCGGTTACAGTTAGTGCCACGTCCTCATGGATCAAAATCCTCATGAGTCGATGTGTGTTTGTGATGGGTGCTGCATCCCGCCCGGGGTCAAGGGATCACCACTCCCCGGGGGCTTCTGACGAGCAGAGTCGGTGAGGGAAGCTGGGTTCGCATAGCGACAGGATGATTCACTTAATAATATTTACTTAGTATTTGCTTGACAACCATGGCAAGGATGTCGTAAAATCGGGCACGACTCACTTAACAACTGTCTTGCTTAGCAACCAAAATTCTGGTCCTGATAATGCTTGTACGTCGAGTGCTACCTTTTCGCTCAGAGGCCTTCAATGCTTCACCCGGTTTCATGAAGGACTGGCTTGTAAGGGAGAAATTGCTGCTGTGGCAACCGGGGTGGGGGTGGGTGGGGGTCCAGGCAGGCAGAACCGGCCTCCTTGTGAACCTCTTGTGCAGCTTGGCCTCCGACAGGGCTGCAGGCCGGAGTCCGAAAGGATCTCCTCGTTCCAAAGTCCCTCCAGATAGCGCCAGAGGGGGCTGTGCTCACCTGAGCCCCCCCATCCCTGGGGGGGGGGGACACGGCTGAATTCCCCAGACAGGAAGGCCATGGGTGCAAAGGTGAAACCTTCGCCCCTCCTGGGGGGGATGGGCTGGAGTGTTTGGGTAGATCCAAGTCAGAGCTGAAGAACCTTCTTGGGTGAGAAGCGAAACATCTTGGAAGAAAACCCCCAGAAAGTCCAGTTGCCTCTTGGGGAAAAAGCACTTCTGGGACACCCTGACCTGCAGGATGGAGAATCTCCATGGACATCCATGTGTGAAGAGGGAGGGTCCTGCCCAGAATGGGTGGGGCAGGGGCTGAATGCTCTCATGGCTGCTGCTTAAGAGCCCCCTGGCCTTTTGGGGGGGGGGCAGCTGCCCTCTGGGCATCAGCATCCCGACCGCCTGACAGCCACGTGGCCATCTGACCTCAAGAGGCCCGGCCTCAGTGTGGCTGTTCAGTGTGGCTGTTCAGTGTGCCAGTGGAGGGTTAGCCCAGAAGTCAACATGGCGGCCCTCGTGGCTGCGCTTCTTGAGGCCGGCGGAGAGCAGGGCCGAGGGGCTTCGGCCTTTGCAGCACCAGCAACCCGATGGCTGGGGTGAATTGTGGGGGCAGCGGGCCGGATGTGTTTCAGTCGCATGGAGGGAAGCCTTCTGCAGACGGGCTGCAGCCTCCTGGCAGCCTGGCATGTCCGGTTGGTACTTCTTGTCCGAGCATCCTCTGGGGTGGGGGTGGGCGGCCCCCTTTTGAACTTGGAGCTCCTGGAGGTGATGGCCATGTTGCCTTAGCAGACATCCACGGTGGGAGAGAGTCGGGTCAGGAAGGGCCCAGAGAGCGGGTCCCTTTCAGCCAGAGCAAGCGGGCCCGGCCAGTCTCTTCTGCTCTGGGCTTCGGTTCCCCAAGGCCTCCCAGGTGGCAACTGTGTCCTCTCTCTTGCAGTTTGCTTCCCAAGGTTCAGGCCGCGGCCTCTGCCTGGAGGAGCCAGCGCTGCTACGCCACAGAGGTGGACGAGGTGAGAGGGGTGGGCTCAGCCGCTAGGGCGGAGGAGAGGACAGCCCCACTGGGGAGGCCACGTGCCTATGGCAGGCCCCCTCCGTCTGTCCGGGGCTCCTGTGTTGGGCCCCCTGCCAAAGTTCAGGCCCAGGGCCCCCCTCCAGAAGACGGAGGGGTCCTGTGATGTTCCTCCCTTGCCTGCCTCTCCTTGAGGGCCACGTTGAGGCCTTGGGACCCCCCAACCACAAGGGCGTCCTTCAGTTTGCCAAGCGCCCGCGGCCGGTGTCCATGCGATGGCCGAGGGAGAAGGGCCCGGGTAGCCCAGCCAAGGCAGAGGGGGAGCCAGAAGCCTCGGGGTAAGGAGGCCTCCCTGAGAGGAGTTGCAGGAATGCCTCTGGCCCGGCTGACCCCCATGAGCCGCAGGCAGGAGGCGCCGTGGTTCTTTGTGTGGCCTTCAGCACCGGCTCTTGTGCGCCCCCTGCAGATCAGTGAGCGACCTGTCCTCATTACCGGCTGCGACTCGGGCTTTGGCTTCTCCTTGGCCAAATTCCTCCACGAGAAAGGCTTCATCATCTATGCTGGGTGCCTGCTGAAGGTGAGGCCGGGCGAGTGGCTGTAGGTGCAGTTCAATGCCACCGGTCTCCCCGTCCCCCCTCCAAATTCTGCTCAGGCCAGGCCCTGGAACAGGGTTGGAAGGAACCAGGGGCAGGTCGGACTGGGTGGGCCTTCCCTAGAGAAAAAGCAGCAGGGCAGGGGAAGCGGCTCCCTCTGGAAAGGGTGTCTCGGCCTATTTGCCCTTGTTCCAGGGAGCGGGACACGGACTCCGGTTGCACACAACCATGAGCGGCGGCGGCAGCAGCAGTGGCCCCCAGAATGCGCAGGCTCCCCTTGGGTGGAGGTGGGACCCCATCCTCCCGGCTCCTCCTGCCCTGAGCCAGGACGGGGCTACTGAGCCCTGGGGGGGGGGGGGGGGGGGCTGGGTGTTTCTCTCCAGCAAGAGGGGAGGGGAAGGGCAGGCATGTCTGCCCCTCCCTGGGGGACTTGCAGGCTCCACCTTTTTCCGCTGCCTCTGGAGGCTGCTGGGAGCAGGAAAAGTCAGCTGCTTGGCAAAGGGCTTCTTTGCTCCCCAATCCCAGGCCCTGCGCAGCCCCTGCTGGCGGGAAGTGCAGTAGCCGCGCAGGGCTTTTCTGCCAGGCTGCAACTTCAGAAATTGCGAAGAATGTTCGTGGCTGGGGTGGTAGGTTTTGGCAGGGGCCTGTCCTCCGAGCTTGTCCTTTGTAACTTCATTTGATGGTTACCCAGCCCTGGATTCATCCGATGGGTCTTGGGAGAAGCAGCCCGGGAGGCCCTGAGAGTGGCAGATTCTCCAAGCCCCACATTCGCTCTGGCAAGACGCACACCTCCTGGTCGTGGGGAGCCGTCTGGGAGCCGCCCCTTTGCCCAAAGCAGGTGGAAGAAGGGCTGGGACCAGCAGGGCAGCTGGGGGTAACCCACGGGACCTGCTGACTTGGGGGGGGGGGTTCGGAGGCAAAGCGCCCAGAGAGACAACGCGTGGTTGCGTGACATCCTCCCACCCGGTGGGTGGGTGGATGTGGCCGTCTCCCGTTGCCCACCCTGCTGCTCCTGTCACTTTTCTGTCAGGAACAAGGCCGGGGGGGCTCAAAGGACCTGGACAACATGAAGAGTGACCGAATGAGGACTGTCCAGCTCAACGTCTGTGACAGCGAGGAGGTGGCGCGTGCGGTGGACCACGTGACCAGCAACCTGAAGGATCCGGAGACCGGAGGTGAAGGAGGAAGGCTGCGGAGCATGGGAATCGCAGGAGGGAGGGAGGGAGGGAGGGAGGGGAAAGCCAGGGAGCCATTCCTCTCCCCTGTCAGCCGGGCTCAGTCCCCACGGAAGGCCAGTGGTTGCCCCGGGTCCCAGCCTGAGCGCAGCTCCCCTTGGCTTCCTCCATTCCTGCACACACCTAATTCAGTCTAGGTCAGGAATTGGGGAGTTGGCAGAGGTCATATTGTGGCTCCTTGATCCCAGGATGATTTTCCAGTATGGAAGAGACTGCAAAGCCCCCACAGAAGGCAAGAAAGAAACCAGGAAGCTGCAGGATGCAGAAGCTTTGATGCTTTATGCTCCTATTTCATGGTCCAAAATGTTGGTTTTCCTCCCGTCTGGTCAGAGGCTTCA